AATACAAGCCGGATGATTGATATCCAATAGATTGATACAAAAAATTTGGACAAATTACGAATTGGAAAAAAAAATCGATGAAATTTAACAAATTATTTTAAATATAAATTAATAGAAAATAGAAAATACTTTTAAAATGAAACCAACGACTAACTATAGCACATTATTAAATGGAACAAATAGGAAATCACTGATAAATGATAAATTTCAAGGACATTTTTGGCTCATATAAAAGTAAATAAAATTTTAAATATTACAATCGTCAATGTTTATCGAGAAAGGATGATTAATTAACAATTTGCCAGTTATACATATATATTAAAATGAATGGTCATTTATGCAACAACGAGTATTGCCCACATAACATTTTATACCATATCAATATGTTGACCTAATTATCCATAAAATGACGAAAGTTGGTTAAATGTTTCATATCATTCTTCAGTTAAATAATTTTAACATTTTACCAATATTTCGTATAGTATATAAATGATATTTTGCAAAAATTTTAAAAAGTTTTTCCAAATTATTAGTAAAAATAAAATTAACGACAAAAATTTTAAATCATTGATAAAAAATAAAATTAATATTAAAAATTTCTAAATCTTTATCTTATCGTAATTTCAAAATATTTAAATTAATATTTTAAATTTGACGATAAAAAATCAGGGAATTATACTAATTTCCTCAAATTTTGATTGCATTATTATTAATTTTGACAAATTTTTTGCAATATTGAATGCAAAAAACTGGAAGATATATTTAATTACTAACATTTTTTATAAGTACTACAAATTTTATAATTAAGAATGTTAAAAAAAATGACTTAAAAAAAATGAAAATACTAAGTAATTTTATCAATAATAATTAATTAGCTAATCTAATTACTGCATGCCATTTCTTCCTGATATGTTGCGAAAAAAGTTTTGGTTTAGAATTTTCAATCATAAAATTTTATCGCATTAATCCGAAATCATAATTGTAAAATTTTTAAAACTTTATATGGGATATTAACCCAATCAAAGTCGTTTTTAATCTTTCCTCATAAACTAAATTATTTAATCATTATTTTTTATTATATTCCAAATGTTTGTTCACCAAATTGTTATCTTTTTACACATTTTTATAAATTGCTATTTCAGACGTTAAAATAATTTAATTAAAATTTGTCGAATTATTTGATCCATTTTTGACATATTTCAAATTTTGCTCCTTTTTTTCTTTATTTGAACTACATTTTCAAGTAGTTTTGACGTAACATTTCAAATATTCCAAATTTTTATCATAAAAAAAAAATGCTTTTACTTACTTTTAAATTAGGTTGGAAATTTTGAACTTTAGTTTTTATTATTATAAGATGTTTTGACATACATTATTAATTTATACATCTATCCATATGCTCCAATCCATTGATAATCTTCACCATCTAATTTTAGGTCATCCAAAATTATTCCTCTTTTACTCATTTATGACAATTAATAAAAAAAATACTTTGTAATAAATACAATAAAAATTGAAATAACTTTTATTATTTGAAAAATCTCGAATAAAAATGCTATTGATAATAAATGTAAATTAACAAATATTAAAGCCATAATTAATAACAAATTATTTACAAATGTATGTCACTTTTAATATTAATATTAAAATAATATTATTATCAATGAAATAATAGCAATAACTTTGGATTCCCTGAATTTGATGCAAAATACTTTCTTTTCCATTTCATGATAACTTGTAACATTTATCAGTTATGGGTAATATTAAGTATGGGTAATGCTTTACTAAATACATGATTAGGTAGGATATCACGGGTAAAATATCGATTAAATATTAAGCATGAATAAAGTTCCACCCAATATTCAATATGGATAAATTGTTATTAAATATTAAATATGAATAATGTTTTATCGAATACAAGACATGGATAAAGTTTTATCGAATACTTTTAATGGGTAGAATTTTAACGAATAGTAAACGTGGATAAAGTATTGTCAAATATTAGGCATAGATAGGATGTTATCAAGTAATTGAAATATTGTTAATACTTAATCAATTTTAATCAAAGTTAAGTTATCAACTTTATAGGTTAATGGATATTATAAAAGATCAAAAAACAAACATATAAAAAAGACTAAAAATTTATTCGCGAAAAAAAGAGGACAAAAATTTTGAAAATTTCACAAAATGAATGACAATTTTTGAATTTTTATATATATAATGAAATTATTTTGAACAAAGTAAATGTAGCAGAAATAAGTTATATTTAATAGAATGATAATGTTTTTTGTAAAAAAAAAAAAAAAAAAA